AAACAACCTCTGGGCTGATCTACGTCAGGGCATGGCTAACTAACAGATTGAACCCTGAAACAACCTCTGGGCTGACCTAATTCAGGGCACAGCTAACTCACAGATTGAACTCTGAAACAACCTCTTGTAGTCTCACTGTCTATAGCTTTCAGTAGTAGTCCCTTCTCAGGGCGTGTACTTACAGCATATGATGCTAATAATGTGGCAGTATCAGCAGGACAATAAATTGACTCATTCAAAATGGATTTTCTAACTTGAAAATAGAACATCCTCTGTGGAAAAAAATCAAACAATTTTTATTTATAGCTACTGTTTTCTTAGTTTTTCGTTTTTACTGTACTGTATACTCTCCTCAGACTGTCCCAACCCCTTGGAAATTATAATCCCCCTCTGTTGGGGAAGTATATAAATTTTCTGTAATTACACAATTTATCCTCTCAGACCCTACCCACCCCTTTGAAAATCGGGTATCGATATATTCAGGAGCTATTAAACAAGGGTACCAAGAGTAGATAAAATATTCAACCAACCTGAGTAACTTCCTGAATAAGCTCCTCTGTGATATCTTCTGGGAAGAATTTAACAGCAAATTGGAAAAGAAGGGGGTCCTCTTTCTTCAGATCTTGGGATGTTATCTTTGTAAGACAAGGATAAATATTTTTTTAATGCTGTATCAGGAGGGTGCGTGCCAGTAAAACATCTTTGGGGAAGGAGGAGGAGTGGAAGGACAAGGAGCAGAAAGCAGGAGGAAGGGGGGGGGGAGGTGTGCCAGTAAAATATCTTTGGGGGAGGAGGAGGAGGAGGAAGAAGTAGCAGCCACATTTGGGAAAGAGAACTAGGTTAAGTGACATGGGGGTAGTATGAGGGCACACTATGGAGGGGTGTAGGGAAGGATAAGTAACATGGGGGTTGGTGGGTGGGGTCAAATGAGCAAATTAGGATGATGACTTGCCTAGGGAGGGAGTACAGAGGTGGAGCGGGGGAAAGGGGAAAGGATTGAATCATATTCAAAATGAAGGTAATATAGGGAGTAGAAATCAAGTAGGGGAGGAAAGGAGGGAAAGAGGGGGGAAGAAGCTAGGAGGGGTCATGGAAAGGACATAGTCAGGGGGCCACCTACCTTCTTGTGCATCTTAAGCCATGCAACCAGACCCTTGTTATCAACATACTGGAGCCCAAAATACCAGGTTTCACGAAGACCAAGAGTCTTGACAACCTAGAGAAAAAATATAATAAATTATTAAAGCTTTATATGTAGCTTGCACATTTTAATCCAAAAATCATCTCCAAAATGCGCAAATAGCCATTACAAACTGCAAAAATATACTAGAAATGCCACAGAAAATAGACAGTGTTTCCTTACTTGTTTTGTAAAGATAAAATTGGCTTAAAATGGGGAAAATTCAAGCAAGTTTTTCTGATACAGCCAAACCTTGGCGCCATTTTGAAAGACACAGGGATCCCAACTGGAATCGCACAGGAACCCCAATTCATCCCATTTTCCATTCCCACCAAGGTTCATTTAATTAGTATTTATTCACCTGATCAAAGAGTTCACTACCAGTTATTTTGGATGGGACGATGAATTCTAGTTCTGCCTCTATCGTGGTTACTTTAACATTAATCTGAAAGGGAAAAAATGTTAAAGGTTTGAATCGTTTGGGTGGAGAAGTTGCATTGGGTTCCAATTATAACTACGATTATTAGAGTACTTACAGATTTAGGCATTTTGGTATTTGAAGCTCAAAGCCCGCTTACAGCGAAGTCAAAACCTAGGGGGAAAAAGCAGCTTTCGTATCACAAAAAAGATTATTCTTAAATCTTAAATAATCCATCTTATGAATCCAAGGATATCTTAGGATTATTTAACTACATAATCTACTGTAAGTTTCGTACTAGTTTTGTCGATTATCGCATGGGTTTCAGAACTTAACTTTATGAATTCTAAAAAAACRGAATTAAATAAGATTCGTTATTAATTTTTTCGCCAAAACCAAACAGATAATGAACAAAAACAAAGAAAAAATAAACAAATAGTAAAACAAAAACAATACAAAAAACAAAATACAAAATGATGAATACTACAAAGTGAAAAAAAATKTCCTAGACAGTAGTTCTCAACTAATTTTAATCGAATCAAAGTATTTTATTTCTGTATAGAATCGAAGGAACCTAATCTTCGTAGAGAAAATTCAAGAGAATCAAATAAATAAATCGTTTTGGTTTTGTAAATGACTGATTTCTCGGCCTGCCCTTGCTTGAGCTGTTCGCCACTCGCTTCTACAACTGATCCAATCGCCGGCACGAACCCTTTAATAATTTGATAACCTCAAATCTTTTATTAACTTGTTGAAAATTACAGTAAAAACCAGAAATTTCTTATTAAGTTGTTGTATGGCTGTTTTTTTACCAATATTCCTTGATATTTTAGATAAATTTTCAACAATTCTCAACTCCAATAAACAAGAACAAAAAGTCTGTTTGGAAGCCAAACATGGTCATATTTTCATGTTGTTATAGTTAGTAAGACAATGCGTGCATACAAATACTTTCATAGCATGGGGGGAGAGATGGCTGGGGGAGTTTTATTCTAGCAGTAAATTAAATTTTGAAGCCGGCCACCTATAGAGATGGGCGTAGTTTCCATGATAATGGTTGCCAAGGTGATAGAAAGGGTTTTCATATTAATGGTTRCCATACTTTTCACTAGGAATGCAAACAAAAAAATAAAGTTGGGGAGGGGAGGGGGAGGAAAGCTAGTGATTACTTAATAGGGGATGGGTAAGTACGAAATTGTACATTATTTTTCAATAACCCACGTTCTTAAATAAATCCTTCCTAAAACCAAGCTTCTCATCATGTAATTATTTGTTTGCAGTAAATTATTTGAATAAATATTTTTGAATTATAAATAATTATATTTATTAATAAATTGGCAAAAAGTTGCTATCGATTCTAAGTTATCCACTGAATGAATTAAAAACCTGGATTTTTTAATACAAATATTCTTCTATAAACGAATCTTTTTATAATTATTTACGCGCGTTCACACCTAATGTGAATTCTGCAGTCCAATTAATTGAATATTAAATACTGTCAGCATGAAGCAAACTGAAAATAATCGTCATTATTAATTGCATTTTTTATTTTAAATCTAATCTCGAAACAAATCAAACAAACAAAGTTTGCTCCAAAACCATTTTAGTTTGAAGCTTAGATCGTAAATTTAATTCCTACGTAACAAAATTGCTCCCAAAAATTGATTATTTAGTTGTGCACATAGAACAAAAGCAAATGGTAGAATCACTCACCCAAAAAATTCAAGAAAAATATTCCCTAAATTCTAGAACTTTTGCAATCTTTAGTTGACAAATAACATGCATTTTTTGGATAACGTACATAGCCTTTGTTGTAATAAATATTCGTTTTGCTTTGATATATGAATTCTAACATTTGCTCGAAGAAGTTCATTTTATTCTAGGAGAAAAGTTTCCAATGCTGTTGACGGTACAAAGGGTTAATTGATTTCGCTTCGACTGAAATATTTTCACACCACTAATTAATCTATATCAAGCAATTTTTTCAATGGTTTTTCAAAGTGTTGTTTTTGATATCAGAATTGATTTAGTATTAATTGACTTTTTGAAGCTACAAGTTAATTTAAAAATTGCTTGTGCAAAAAATATCTTTAAAAGAGTGTTTTAAGAGTTTGAATATAAAAATTTGGAATTGAGTATAAAAAGTATTTAGCAGTTGAAGCTAAATAACGCGAAACCAACATCGCTACGAATATTATTATTATCATTAATTTATACAATTTTACTTACCTATATTTCTTTTGGTAATGTGGGTTGAAAAGTTGCACGAGCACTTGTGTCGAGCAGTGTGGGAACGAAGCTATTCCAGAAGATATTTGTCCTTTCAATTTATCTTGACAACTCCCACACAGATGCAATAGTCACCCCCTGCTATTGAGTCACGCAATGTCAAAGATCATTCTTCTCGCGTTTGTAACGATGTATGACGTTAAACTAAATATGCTATGTCACGCTACAGGGACCAAGAGTAATACAGTCTTGGACTACAATGGTTACTATGGCAATGATGATTTTTTTTAGAAATCATTATCATTCTCTGTATATACTTATTTCAATAAAGTTAGTCACCAAAAACCTAGAAAGCTGAGATGTATGTCACGCTACAGGGACCAAGAGTAATACAGTCTTGGACTACAATGGTTACTATGGCAATGATGATTTTTTTTAGAAATCATTATCATTCTCTGTATATACTTATTTCAATAAAGTTAGTCACCAAAAACCTAGAAAGCTGAGATCACTGAGCATCATGGGAAACTTTTCATATCAAAAAAGCATGTATATGCAAAGCTTTTTTAATACAAACTGCAGCTCGATGATGCTCAGAAGAGGCGAGACTGTAACCGGTAAAAAATTCGCAAGTTCATGAACAGTTATCAAGCGGTTGAACGTGAAAAATGAATCTACCCATAATACTTGTCGGCCTCAGCTTTATAGCTTTTCAGGTGACTACCTTTATTGAAATAAGTGTATAAGGCTCATGTGAAGTTCGACGTTTGACATGAGCATACCTTTGATATTTTTTTCTTCGCTTTTATGAACTTAAATAAAGACTTTGTTCATTTATTTATTGGAGTAAGTAAGTTGTAAACCAAATTGCTTAATTGAACTGTAGCTGATTGAAGAAAAAAAAACATCAATATCACAGCCTCATTAAAATCTTAAATTAAGGGAAGAAAGAAAGAAAGAAAAGAACGAGCGAACGAACGAACGAACCAACGAACCAACGAACCAACGAACGAACGAACGAACGAACGAACGAACGAACGAACGAATAAATGAATAAACAAGCGAACGAAAAAACGATAAGATAAACGAACGAACGAATAAAAGTTCTCTGACTCATATCTGAAATTTTTCCCGCGCAACAAGATTTCGATAAGAGGCCTGAGGCCTTGCTTCAGTCAACCATTACAATGCGTGATGTATTTTCTTTACCATGCTCGCGTCCAGTTTTCCATCCAATCAGAAAAAATTCAAAGTGTTTTGTTTATGTCGCTCAGATAAAATATACACGTTCATGATCAAATATTAAAGCCGTTTAATCTGCCCGAACTAATTGTTCATACAAATCAAATCAATATGACAGTTCTTTTATATATTGAGTAAATTCTTTTTTTCGTCCTATCCAAGTTGTTGGTTGTTGATATTTTTCCCCGGGGACCCCGGTGGTCCTGGAGGTCCAGGAGGCCCCGCTGGTCCGGCCGGTCCTTGAAAACCCATGATCCCTGGTGGYCCTTGCTGCCCAGTCCTTCCGCGTCTACCGTTAGTGCCAGGAGCCCCGTCAGCGCCATTGCGGCCATTTTTACCCGGTTGACCAGGAATTCCAGGCGGACCCTGAGAACCTGAAGAAACATGCACAAAAGGAACCTGAGTGGACCTTTTTAACTTGGACATGAGATTTCTCATTTCATACCACATATCATTCCCTTGAGTATTGTTTTTTATTTTGTACCCCTTCCATGAGAATAGAAGGAACGCTCGCCGCCATGTTGGTTGGCATGACAAGACAYCAATACCATAAAATCTTTAAAGCATACAAACTAAACTGCGCAAGTATCAATATTTACCTTGACGTCCTCGTTTTCCATCTTTTCCTGGCCTCCCCGGAATACCGGGATCTCCTGAGCGTCCAGAGGGACCGGGGGGCCCAGGAGGCCCTGGTAGTCCCGGTGGGCCGGGTTTACCCGGGGGCCCGGGTGGTCCTGGCGGTCCTGGAGGGCCTTGAAACCAAAAATCTGAAAAAGAAATCGAGCGGTTCATAACACATTCCCGTAATTTTCGTGTTTTTGCAATCTTTTGTAGCGAACCAACAAAATTTGACGTCGAAAAAGCAGCACATGAGCCCTCGATAAGAACGACCCAACAAATCGCTCGCTTGTCAATCATCACGGTTGGCAGTAGCTCACAGGAATCTTCGAAAATCTGTAACCAATTTAAAGGTCTTTTTGTGATTTGAATTACTGTTAAATTCATAAATGTTATTTCAAACCCCACGAAGAAATGATTTGCGCGCATTTAACGATACGTTTTATTACTTTTATGTGCGTAATTCTGTATTTACCTCAAAACTTATCACGGTTAAATTGGTATGAGCGATGTTAAGTGATAAAATACTCACTGTTTTGTGGCCTTGCAAGAGAGTTTTCCCCAAAGAATGCCAACAGTAACGTCAATAATACGAAAATGCCCCTCAACATCTCGTAGTTCTTGTCTCTGGCTGTCCAAACAGGGCTTACGAGTCAAGCAGACAAAAGGCTGTATATTCAGGCTTGTCCTGCTTGTTATGTTGACCTGTGACGCATAACTGTCCTGTCTCGTGGGGATTTTATGTCGTTATCTGATTCGACTGACGTACCGGTCTTTGAAGTCACATTGTGGTTGGAAAAATAGTTGGCCGTTTTTATAATGCAATTAAAAAACGACGTCACTTCCTTAGAAAGAAGACGGTATGTCGCCGTACTGCGTTGCCCACAGGCAGCCCAAACAAGGTTCCTGTGTATGGTTTATAAGGGGATGTATGGGAGTTATGATAAAGTTATGAAAATAAAACGTTTCACTCAACAATTTGCTTCAAAACATGTTGCAGTCGTTGCTTTTCCTTTGTTAAGTCTTCTGGAAAAGTTTCAGCGCGATTTGAGGCCGTTTAGTGGGTTTTTTCAAAATCTGCTCTTCTCTACCTAAATTGAAACTTCTCCAGAAGACTTAACAAAGGAAAAGCAACGACTGCAACATGTTTTGAAGCAAATTGTTGAGTGAAACGTTTTATTTTCATAACTTTATCATAACTCCCATACAT